TGCTCCGGAACTTGCTCCGGAACCTGCTCCGGAACTTGCTCCGGAACTTGCTGCGGAACATGCTCCGGAACTTGCTTTGGAACCTGCTCCGAGGTCTTGACTATGGCTGAAGGCCCGTAAGCTTCGCTGGGGAAAAGGATATAATATCTAGTACACAAGATACTTGGGTTCTGTGGCTGGCTTGTCTTCCATAACTGCCCTTAGGCCCTAGTCCTCATTCTGCCAAATCTTCGTGCCTATATTGTTTCAAGTTTAAAGTTTCCAATCCACATAGATTCAACCCGCTGATGTTTTACCAGGAGATGCGATGGGCACACCCACCGCAGACGTTAGAGCCTGCCATCTCATCGATCGACAGGCCTCTTCGTTGATAGCACATTCCAGTTTCGCAGCTTCAGGACAGTCAACGCGTGTCCAACGAACCTAGACCATAAAGGAAGATGGCCCTCCACTTGGGCAAAACTGTCAGCGTCAACATGCTTCAACCAGTGTGTGCTTCCGTAAGTTCCCCAGCAGCTGCTTGGAAGCAACAAATACTGCCTCGAAGTTGACACCGCACACTGAACTCAGTGGTGAACATTCAGAGCTGGGAAATTCGGTTCTAGCAGCCTAGCAGTGCTGAAGCTGACCCATTCACCCTGAAGAACACATTCCCGCCGAAGTTGCCCATCAATCAATTATAGGTGAACCAAGTTGTCCTTAGTTCCTTCAATGGTCATGACTGCGCATTCCACCACACAGAAAAAGCCTTCTTTTCCAAGCGGGGCAAGCTTCAAAATGTTTCCTCGTGGAGAGCCTGCTTGACACTCCTATACATATAGTCGTGAGGCTTTGTGGCCTGAAGGGGTCAGCCAAAGACTCATGGTGTCCGACCACATCGCCGATGTCTACATCCCACTGCAGAGTGAACGCATCCCAAAACGAAACTGCTTGGAAGTCCTTTCCATCACGACCGTCGCGCAGATCGCTGGGACGTCCCTCCGACCAGTCCAGTGCGACCAGTGCCACCCCACCCAGGCTCCACCGATGCTGCACAGCCTCCGCCCCGGCTCCGCCCCGTCTGCCCCGTCCTGCCACCTCCGCCGCGCTGATCGGAGCGGGGCTCGAGGCCTGGCGCGTGGGCCGGGAGTGCGGGGAGTGCTCCGACGTGCGCCCGAGACGCCGGAGCATCTG